AACACCTCCAGGGATGGGGCCTCAACAACCTCTCTGGGCAACCTGTGCCAGTTCCTTACCACTCTCAAAGTAAAAAATTTCTTTTTAATGTTTAATCTAAACCTGCCCTCTTCCAGTTTAAAGCCATTCCCCCTCGTCCTGTCACTACATGCCCTTGTAAAAAGTCCTTCCCCAGCTCTCCTGTAGCCCCTTTAGGTACTGGAAGGCCGCAATAAGGTCTCCCCGGAGCCTTCTCTTCCCCAGGCTGAACAGCCCCAACTCTCTCAGCCTCTCCTCATAGGAGAGGTGCTCAAGCCCTCGGATCATCCTCCTGGCTCTCCTCTGGACACGCTCCAGCAGGTCCATATCTTTCTTATGCTGGGGACTCCAGAGCTGGACGCAGTACTCCAGGTGGGGTCTCACGAGAGTGGAGTAGAGATATCCATCATGTCAGGCTGGAGTGTCCCTGGCTAGGGAGTTGAGTACCTCACTAAGTAAAGTGTTCCTCTTAAAAAACAACATTTCTTTTGGTGGAAGAATGGTTTCTCTTGTTTGGAGAGCAATGTTCCCACCCTGTCACACTGTCTGTTTTATAACTAACACCCACCATTTACATACAATTATTTTCACTTATTAGGAGAGATCGACAAAGCTGAGATTAGTCTTTGGAGATGGTATGACTAAAGCATTTAAACTGAATTGACTGTTTATATAAAATTTAAGTTTGATCACTTAATGGGCAGAGCAGAATTAGAAAACATAGGCTTTAATTATGGGGGAACTTAAGCAAGAATTTAATGAGAAGAAGCCACTTGATGTTATTGGTATTGTTTTTTCCACCCAGTGAACTTCTGATAAAAGATGCATTTCTCCTGATTTCTTCTGGATTTCTTCTGGAGCTTATGTTCAGCTCCAGTGTTTTGGGGGACAGTAGCTCCATGGGGGTTTTGTGCATTGACAGTGGTCAGCAAGTATGTACAGGTAAAACAGAGGTCAGCTGAGGCTGTCACATAGCAGGGCAGGAGGCAGCAATGATGGGGAGTTACCACATCAGTAAATAGTTACAGGGGAGAGTACTTGCAATGCAAGTAAAAAATTAATATTCTGAGGAATCTAAGACATTACGGCACTTTGTTTTTTTTGCATAGAAACACTACAGGGCAGCTCAAGCCTCTCTCTGCCCTTGAGAAGTGATGGTGCAGAAGGAGGTTTCTCGTGGAGGACATACAAGAATCAGGGTGAAGAGGCACAAGCTGTTTTCTGACGATGTGGCCGCACACCAGCTAACACCATCTGTCCTCTGGAGCTGACTTTTCAAGAGAAGACTTATTTCCCACTCTGCTCCTTTCTGCAATTTTTAATCCTCTATTCTTTGGGGAAAAAAAAAAAAAGGTAAAACCATATCAATATTGAAGTCCATAGCATACCTGCTCCACCACCAATGCTTAGAACATTGATTGTAGACTTCCCATTTCCAATACTGAAAAACATTATTTATACATTTTAGGAGAGCTACCCAGTAGAGAGGGTTACATGCACATGTGAAGCACTGGAGATACCATGAAGACTAAAATCTGCAGGACAAAATCAAACACAACGTGTGCATGTACAGGCATGCCGATGAGCTGGCAAGAGGGATCAGATGCAGAACTCTGCTCTTTGGAGATTCCCAATTTCCAGTTATTTTGGCAATTTGTAGAGGAGTTCTGCTTTCATTACAAGTGCATACAAGCAGCAGCAGGTACCTGCCTTCTCTGTGTCTGTGCTTCGAGGACCAGAGACCTCCCCGAGTCAGGACCAGCAGCTTAAGAAGTATTTGTAGAAGTTTTAGATTTTGCTAAATGGGGAGAAAGAATGGAGAGTGTAACACGCTTAAAATCCCTTAGTGAGGCTTTGTCAGAGCCGTAAAACCCTGAGCCCAGAGCAGGGCCTCCCCAGAGCCAGGATTTGACCCCAGCTGCCCGCTGCCCGAGCCAGCCCGCAAAGCGAGGGCTCCAGCCAAAAACACGCACTGCTGGGCAAAGCAGGAGCGTTACACACACTAGAGAGAGACTAAATATTAACTGAAGATTACTTTTTAAAAGATGCCTTCAGTCAAATTTAATATTAGAATGTAATATCTGTTACTGCATTTTTCACGTGTTAGAGTTGAGTCGGGGTAAGTTGTATTTGCATGCAAGGAAACAATTCAGCCTTATCTCCTCCCCGCTAGGCAGGCTCCGTCCTGACCACAGCTGTTCAGCCATGTCCGCAAATGAAATCTCCAGCCAAGCCCTATCAGAGGCCCACAGATGGGGCAGCCGACGGGGAACACCAATCTGCCTCTCTCAGGAAACCCCCCAGAGCCCGGCCGACCCTGTTCCCGCTGTGGGACCGTAAGCCAGGCTGTCCTTCACCTCGACATGGCCACCTCCGTGTTACCTCGCTATCACGTCCGGCAGCTGCCGCTCAATGAACTCCTGCATGCACTGGTGCTCCGTTGAATTGGCGAGGAAGAGGCGGAAAGACTGGAGGTATCTGGCGGGGTCGGTGAGCAAGCTCCTCATGGGCGATGCCATGGCGATGGTCGGAAGGGTGCGGGAGGGGAGAGGTTGCTCCTTGCAGCTCTTCTTTCAGACCTGGAAAAGGAATAACAAACACGGGAGATTTGAAAACCAGCACATGCCCGGACTTTGCTCTGCATCCTCAGCCCTGCTACTGCGCCTTAGAGCACTACAAAAAGTATTATGCAATTTTGCGTGAGAAGCTGTAAATCACATTTGAGTAGCAAAGGGTAATATATCATCTTTAATCCGCGCAGAGGAAATGCCAGCATTTTTTTAACTGTGCTGACACAGGGCTCTGTTAAAACCCAGTAAAAGGATCTTTAGACGGTTCTTAAATAAAAGAAAAATTCCCCTATTTCTTGAAGGCATGGAATGGCTCCAAAGACGGTCTGGATTAGAAGAAAGTGCAACACACATCTCCAGAGGTGCTGACAGATGTCTCTATCTGTTTTTTCAATCTTTTGATGTTCTTAAAGGGAATGCTGATGGTGGAGTGAAAACAATAAAAACCTTATAAATGCAGTCTTTATTTTTCTAGTTCCTCTGAAGATAATGGTATAATTCCCGTGGGCTAAGTAGTTAATTCACGAAAGCCACGTGAGTTACTGGAATGGATGTTGTGCTAAACCTGGCTTACACAGAGTCGGGAGTGGGGGAGGCAGAGTGTGCTACTGGGAAATGTCAGGCCGTACCTTGAAAAGTGCACAAAGACATGCTCATCCCCTCTTAAATTGCAGTTTAAGTCCATCACGTCTTGTCCTAACTGGCAAGGAGGAAGAGGTCCCCTTCTTTCTTGCAGGTCCCAGGCTTAAGGACTACACTGCATCTCTTACCATCAGGTCTGACTTCCCCGCAGAGGTCATGTCCCAGCCACATCTCGTTATTTTTATAGCTCCCTTTGGACTGTCTCCAGCCAAGCCCTGTTGTTGTTGAAGTGCAGCAGCCAAGAGCAAAAGCCTCTCACCTGCTGAGGTGCCCCAGCTCCCAGCGCAGCCGGGACGGCTCCCCTCACCCCACTGAGACACCACGGCCCTTGCCTTTGCTCTCCAGCTTGACCACTGAAATATAAACCATGGGCTTTGCTTGGGGATTCTTTCCAAACTACTTCATTGTGCCTTTGAATAATAATTCTGTCCTCTGTGTGTTCCCAGTCCATCCCAGCTGCACATCGAATAACAACAGTCTCGTCCCTCGCCCAAATCACAAATAGAAACACAGAAGAGTAGCGGGCTCAGGTTCAGACACATCATTACCTCCCTTTCTGCCAGTGAGCTGCTGATAACTTTTCTGACTGACTGTGCAACCAGTTTTCCACCTACCCAATAGCTGTCTCATCAAGGCCACGTCTTCCTCGCTTGCTTATGGGAAGATGGTGCCAACCCTAAAGCCCCCATATAGGAACGCCTCCTTCTCCTCTGTGCTCCAGGATAATTACACCACTGGCAGAAATGTGGGCTTGGCAAAATTTATCCCTGACATCTCCATGTTGCCTGTCCATCCCCTTATTCTCTTTCTGGTGCTTAGTCCTTTTCAAAGGATGGTTTCTAGGGACAGCCATCATGCTGAGCAGCTGAAGTTCCCTGGCTCTTCCTCCTCCTCCTGCCCCCTTTTCAGCAGTATCATGAGCTGCTTGGCTTTGCTCACCTTCCTTACTGTTCATGCCGAAGATAACATCCAACTTGTGACATGTTCTGGGTTTGCACCCCATGAGCCACATCATTCAACATCCCAAAGGCTCCCACAGGAGGATGTGAAGCAAAGGCTGGTGGTGATGTACCTCCTGCAGCACATGCTGCTACCAGAGCTGTTAGGTCAATTAGCAACACCTGTTAATTGCTGTCCTTGAGGCAGTCCCAAAGTCCAGCAGCAACCTCCAGAGCAGGGCCCAAGGTACGATTTTCCACACATACCACCACCAAGGCAGATCCAGCTTTCCGCACATTCCCTGTGCCCCCAGTTCTCAGAGAGCAAGGGTGCTTTCAAGGGGAAAAACAGCAAAATCGAGTATATTAAACAACAACAATGACAAAAAGGGCCTGGTAACAAGTAGATGGGAGAGTTTTAAGAACTTTGCTGGGTCCTGGATGCTCACAAGGGTTAGTCTGGAGCAGCATGGGAAGGAGAATTACAGATAGAGCCCAGAGGGTTGTGATTAGTGGTGCAGAGTCTAGTTGGAGGTTAGTAACAAGGGGTTTCTCTCAGGGGTCAGTACTGGGCCCAGTCTTGTTCAACATATTCATCGATGATCTGGATGAAGGGATAGAGTGTACCATCAGCAAGTTTGCTGATGACACAAAACTGGGAGGAGTGGCTGACACGCCAGAAGGCTGTGCTGCCATTCAGTGTGACCTGGACAGGCTGGAGAGTTGGGCAGAGAGAAACCTTATGAAATTCAACAAGGGTAAGGGTAGGGTCCTGCATCTGGGGAGGAATAACCCCATGCACCAGTACAGGTTGGGGGCTGACCTCCTGGAGAGCAGCTCTGTGGAGAGGGATCTGGGACTCCTGGTGGACAACAGGATGACCATGAGCCAGCAATGTGCCCTGGCGGCAAATCCAGTTCTGGGCTCCCCAGTTCAAGAGGGACAGGGAACTGCTGGAGAGCGTCCAGCGAAGGGCTACAAAGATGATTAGGGGGTTGGAGCATCTTTCTTATGAGGAAAGGCTGACGGACTTGGGTCTTTTTAGTCTAGAGAAAAGAAGACTGAGGGGGGATCTTATCAATGCTTATAAATACTTAAAGGGAGGGTGCCAGGGGGATGGGAAAAGTCTTTTTTCAGTGGTGCCCAGTGACAGGACAAAAGGTAGCGGGCACAAACTTGAACATAGGAAGTTCCATCTTAACATGAGAAGGAACTTCTTTCCTTTGAGGGTGGCAGAGCACTGGCACAGGCTGCCCAGAGAGGTTGTGGAGTCTCCCACTCTGGAGACATTCAAAACCCGCCTGGACGCTGTCCTGTGCAACGTGCTGTAGGTGACCCTGCTCTGGCAGGGGGGTTGGACTAGATGATCTCCAGAGGTCCCTTCCAACCCTGACCATTCTGTGATTCTGTGAGATGCCCCCCCCCCAGCCACAGGGCTCATCTCCATGCTGCCAACTTCGGTGACCCTGGTGGTGTTAGATAAGAGAGGTGATCTGGCCAGTACGTTAGACAGACAGACCAACAAACTGCAGCTGAATTGACTCTGTTAGGTGGAGGGCCACAGCTCAGGCTCGCAGGGCAGTATCACACCGCCCACCCAGTTCAGCCACCATGCACAAGCCTCGGACGGGCACCCCGACACCCCCAGATCCTTTTCCCACATGAGCAGCACTCAAATCCCCAGCAAAATCTGAGTTTACCCAGGGAAACCAAGTGTAAATTTTTGCCAGAGAGGATAAGGAAGCAAACACCTGGATGTACATCAGGTGAGAATTACTAACCCACCCTAAAAATAAAGTGGTATATTCCTTTTTTACCCATTCCTCTGCTCTGCCCAACTCCCCACTTTTCACTTTAAGTGCATAAAGAGGCTTTGTCATTTTCCACTAACATACTTTACTACGTTCAATCTTGAAAAAAACATTTTGCAGTTAATAAGAGGAGATTTAGATAATCAACCTTTTTTCTATTCCTCCCTCTACTTCCCATGATTTAATTTGCCAACATCCCCTACTCGGTGGTTTCTAATGAGCAGCTGAGATTCATTTTCATGTTAGGTGCAGTTCAAGGAATTTGTCTCATTTATTTCATTATGCTTTTGGCTGTTTGAATTTGCCCCATTTATTTAATTATGTGTTTTGCTGTTAGAATTGCAGCCAGTTAACTTTAAAAATAAGTAAAGAGAAAGAAGAAGAGGATTTCTTCTGAATCAGGCTGATGATAGAAACTTTTGGATAATAATGTTCACTTTGGCGTGTTCCCTTCAGTGGTAATCCAAATTTATACGGAGCTCCCTAAAGAGATTGAGGAGTTTTGAAAACAGATTCTGTGTTTGCACTGCAGTGATTTGATTCACCCCGGGTTTGTGCCGGCACTAGCAGAATTAAACCCGCTTTAAACTCACCGTAAAACTCTTCAAACCTTCCCCGTGCAGCCAGAAAGCAAAGCGAGCGTGCCCTCAGCTGTAAAGTATTTGCAGTAGGAGCCTGGGCTTACTCGCGCGGGGTTACAGCTCGTTACAGAACGCCAGCAAAACAGGGATCCCTCCTGGAGGAGTTTAGTGCGATCATTTCAGCTTGTGCGTGTCTCGCAGGCGGCCGTACTTACGTGCGAGCGGTCTGTACCTCTCGGGGCTGTGGGCTCCCATGGCCCGATGCCCCTGCGGTGCTCAGGACACGCTCCTGGCCGGACACCTTCCCGGTGGCTGCTGCCGTCCCACCCCCAGGGCCGCAACGTGGCAGTGCGGAGGAGGTTACTCCCTGGAAAAGGAGCGGCCGACACATACCCTCCTGCGGCAGTGGCTGCCTGCAAGGGCAGAGGGGTCAGCTTAAACCCTGCCCACCGCCGCCTCCACCCGGCACCCCCTGCACCCCCGGGACACAGCCGGCACAGCCACCGACACACCAGGAGCACTGAGGCACGGGGCTCTATCAACGGGTTAATTAGAGCTCGGATGAAATATAACGCCCTGCCACTGGTATATAAGAAATGCGACTCCTGACAAATTGGAAATAGTTGTCTCAGTGTGTGGCACACAGCAACGTACAGTATCATTTACAGTTTGCCTGTAGAAGCCTACCGTTATAGATCACTTTGCTTTTTAGCTGGTTTTCTTGCCAGCATCTGACATTTTGCTTATCCCCTACTTTCCAGGGCTTAAGCAATGGGAAGCATTTTCCAAGTTGCGTGCACCCTCCACAGCCCTGTTAGGAGCAGTTTTATCCCAGGGAACACAAGCGCAGAAAAAAAACACTGACCCACGTCTGCTTTCACACTATGGTTTGGTGTTCAGAGCCTTAACAAAATATTTGCCCCATGTGTCCCTCAAATTATTTATTGTTCCTTCACGTTTAGTGAAAAATAATTTTT